AACTCCACCAAGTGCGCGCAGGGGGAGCAAAGGGGCACAGCTGCCTCACTACTCATCAGCGTCCTTGTCAGTCAAGGCTGGGACAGCACCTGGGGCTGCGATCAGAACCGGTTCCTCCTCAGGACTCAGAAGAGAACAGGAAACAAAAGGCGCTGGCCGCTTCTGACCAGCAGGTGGTGGTGTGGGACCAGGAAACTCGCCCCAAGCCCCCGCGGGGTCTGTTCTGTAAAGAATGGGTTTGTCCCAGAAAACACAGATGAAACAGAGCCGTGTGCTGATCTCTGGGGAGGGCCTGTGTCACAGAGAGGAAGCGCAGTCAAGCAGTGTGGGATCTCCCGCATCCATGCAAGTGTCCACCACTGCCTCCGGGCTGGAGGCCTCTTGTTTCCCTTCCTGCAGCCCCAGGGCCCAGGGAACCAATTCATGGAAGCTTTCTTTTCCGTGGTTCTCTGGAAGATGTGTCTTCCCCCATTCATCTTGTCGTTTTCTTGGAAAAACAAACATGACTGCTGTGAGCGGGTGGGCCAGGTGGGGAGGGAGCTGGGTTAGGCTCCAGAGAAAGGACGGCAAACATCTGGGGCCAACACAAGGGTGAATCTGCACCCAGCTGTTAGGGAAAATTGGGGGTGGGGAGGGGAGTTGGGGAGCACGGGGAGAAGCCAGAGGTGGGGGCTCCTTTGCAGATCTTGCGCTCCCCTGTCCTTTCCTCGCCCCTCCACACCCCTCTGTATTTTTCTCTTGCCTACTCACCACACTCTCTCATGTTTCCTATTGGATGTGGTGGCAGCCCCCTCTCTCCCTTCCCCTTCCTCCCTCCCTCTCCTACTCTCCCTCCCTCCTCCCTCTCTCCCTTCCGTCCTTCTTTCTTTCCTTCTTTCCTTCTTTCCTTCTTCCTGCCTTCCTGCCTTCCTGTGGGTCCCCGCCAGCCACCCCAGTCTTACCCTCTGAACTACACTGCTCTTAGTCTCTCTCCTCCTGGCACTGTTCTTGGAGTAGGATGGTCTCCCCAGACTCTGCTGTTGTCCACCAGTGCATTCCTGTAATCCCAGCACTCTGGGAGGCTGAGGTGAGGGGACTGCAGGTTTGAGCACAGTCTGGGCAACTTAGTGATATAGGGAGAACTTGGTTCAAAATAAAGAAGTGAAAAAGGCTGAGGATGTAGCTCAGGGTGAAGGCCCTGCTGTGGGCCCTGTTCTCAAGTGGCTGGTCCTAGATGCAAGGGAAGACTCTGTGAAGAGACCACAGGGAGCTTCTCAGCAGAGGGCTGAAGCCTGGTGCGGACCCCGTCCCGGCGTGTTCAACAGAAGATCACGGTCATGGGTATAGGCCATTTGCGTTTTAAGATAAGTTCTTTTATGATCACTGGCATGATCATAAAATATAAGACGTTCAAATTACTTTATACCTTTTAGGCCACTACCTTGGTGAAGTGGGAGGAGATAAACAGAGATATGTCAGCAGACCGTGATCACCACTTGGCCTGGTGCTCACAGTGACCACCGTGTGTGTCTGGGGAAAGCCCAGACATGCCACCAGTGAGACGCCATGAGTACAAGCACAACTGGCAAAAGCAGTGGCACAGCTGTCCACTGTTGGCACCGAGAATTGCCATCCTGGCTTCACTAGACGGCAGCCCTTTGAATTGCCAGCTGTGAAAAACTGAAGAAGGCAGCACAAAGCGCCTTGTTGCATTCTCTCATCCTGCAGGCTGTCTCTTCACTCCGTTCATTCTTTCCTTTGCAGGGCAGAAGCTCCTTAGTTTAATGTAGTCTACTTTTGCTTTTAGAGTCTGATCCAAAAAAATTCTTTGCTCAGATTGCAGGAATGAAGCTTTGTCTGTGTAATCTTTGAACAGCTTTAGAGTTTCAGGTCTTACATTTTAAGTTGTTGATCTGTTTTGAGTTGCTCTTGTATACATATATACTGAGAAATGGAAGTCTAATTTTATTCTTCTGCATGTAGATATCCATTTTCCCCAGAACTGCTTATTGAAGAGACTGCCCTTTCTCCCATGTGTGTTTTAGGTACTGTCATAAAGATCATTTGATTATAAGTGTGTGGACTTATTTCCTGGATCTCTGTTTTTCTTCCTTGGTCTGTGACTTTGTTTTTGTACCAGTCCCATGCTGTTTTGGTTATTAGAGCTTCACAGAATATTTTCAAGTTTGATATTGTGATGTCTTCACTTGGTGTTTCCCCTTAAGATTTCTTTTATGATTTGAGATCTCTTTCTGATTGCATATAAGTGTTAGCATTGCTTTTCCATTCTCTAAAAGAATACCATTGGTGTTTTGATGGGGGTTTTATTGAATCTGTGATCCTTTGGGACAGTATGGATATTTTGACAATATTCTTCTAGTACATGAATATGGAATGTCTTTCTATTTGTATACACTTCAAATTCTTTTCACAATGTTTCATAGTTTTCATTGTAAAGATCTTTTCTTTGTTAAATTTATTTCTAAGTACTTTGTTTTTGTAGCTGCTGTGAACTTCATTGTTTGCTTGAGTTCCTTTTCAGGTTCTCTATTAATGTATTGAAATGTTGTTTTTTGTTTGTTGATTTCATATCCTGTAACTTTGCTGAATTCATTTATTAGTCTGAATGGTTTCTTGGTGGAGTCATTAGGGTTTCCTATATGTAAGATTATGTTGTCTGTAAATAGGGACCATTTGACTTTTCTCCAATTCACATGCTTTTATTTCTTTCTCTTGCTCAATTGCTTGGGCTCAGAATTCTAGTACCATGCTGAATAGAAGTGATAACAGATGGTAAGATAATAACAGAGGGAGATTCAGCACTCTACTTTCTGTGAAGGACAGAATTCAGACAGAAAATCAACAAGGAAATGTTGGCTATATACTGCAAACCAGACATTTGTAAACATTTCATTCAACAGCTTCAGGATACATACTTTCTCAGCTGCACAGTCTCAAGGATGGATAAAACGGTAAGGCACAAAACAAGCCTGAACACATTAAAAATTAAGATAGTATTAAATATCTTTTCTTTCTGCAATGGAATAAAACTAGAAGTCAATAACAAGAAAAACTTTGGAAAATTTACAAATACATGAAAATTAAGCAACATCTCTTGAGCAACCAATGGATCAGTGAAAAAATTAAGATAACTAAAATAAACCCTTTAGACAATGTGTATTTTTAACTAATCCAAGTCACCCTTCAAGTAACGCTGAAACACTTCATGTGTGTGGCAGGTACTTAATAAAAAGAATTCTTGATTCCCACCCCCTGACCCTTATGGCACTGCTACAGTGGATTTCATTTTTCTGTATGGCATAATCACCTTGTACACTGGTACTCTTACTACTTTAAACACGTATTTTTATTTTTATTTTTGGTGATCTTAGAGATTGAACCTAGGGCCTTATACATGCTAGGCAGGTGCTCTGCCACTGAGCCACATCCTTAGCCCATAAATAGTTATCTTTTAGATCAGTTTAGGTTAAGGAAAACAAATTACTTTGTTTTCTCTTCATTTGTTTTCTCCCATGATACACTTCCTTCCTTTATGTGGGTTCATGTTTTATTGTCTTCCTGCCTGAGTAACTTCTTTAAACATTCCTTTCAGGGAGGGTACCCGGGCAATGAATTCCTTTGGCTTTTGCTGGTCTGAGAAAGCCTTTATTCTGTTTTCACTTTTGAACTATAATTTCTCCCACCTAGAATTCTCTAGCCTACTTTTTTTTCCTTGCAATATTTTAAAAATTTCATTCATTTCATTCTCATATTGCCTGCATAGTTTCTGCAAAGAAGCCTACTGACATTCTTATTTTTATCCCTCCACAGGTCAGGTGTCACCTCCTGCTACCCTGATTTCAGGATTTTTCTTTTTGTCTTTGGTCCTCAGCAGTTTACATATGGTACTCTTAGATTTTGATTTTTGGGGGATATTTTTTCTGCTCATTGTTGACTGATCTTCCTTGATCTCTGGGTTTGGTTTCTGTCTTTAATTTTAGAAAATCCTCAGCCTGAAATTTTCTTCTGACCCACCTTCTTTTTCCTTCTGATATTCCCATCATGCATATATTATACCTTTGTAGTTGTCTCACATTTCTTGAATATTTCATTTTCCCCTAACCATTCCAGTTTTCTCCTTGCTTTTCAGCTGTTTTTGTGCTGTCCTTAAGCTCATGGGTTCTTGGTTAAGTCCAGTCTTCTCATGAGCTCATCAAAGCATTTTAAATTTATCATAATGCTCTTAATTTCCAACACTTCATTTTAAATTCTTAGATTTTCCATCTTTCTACTTCCATTAGTCATCCATTCCACATTGTCTATGTTTTTCCGTCTGAGATTTAATCCTATTAATCATAGCTATTTGAAATTCCCTGTCTGATAATTCCTAAGGCTGTGGCTTCCTTGGGCCTAGTTATAATGCTTCCTTTGTCTCTTCAAATGTGTCTTTTCTTGTCTTTACCACACTTTGTGATTTTGTTGTTGTTGAAAGCCCAACAAGAGACATTGGATGGCTGGAAAGGACGTGCCAAGGCTAGAGTCCTCTGTTAGGTCAGTGGTGTGGTGTCAAGACGGACCCTTAGCATGCTAAGTCTGACAAGTCCCAGAAACTGGGGACCAGACAGAGAAGACCAGTTCTGATGGTGATGTTAGGTGGAAAAATGACAAGGAATCAGAAAACTGTCAGGTCAGGCGACCACGAGCCACCATCTTCCCCTGAATGTCCTATCCTAACTCCTCTGCCTGGTTTTTCCCAGGTGCATGCTTGTGAACATGAGTGATGAAATGATTGAGTGTAAAAAGGACTGGCTGTTTGATAGCCTGGCATTTAAAGAAACATATCTGCTTATGTTGCATATCTGTGCAAAATTAAAGGTAACCTTATTTTTGGATACCTGAACACGATTTCTATTTTGAGTCCCTTCATTTCTGGAACCTGCTGCTTGACAACTGAGGATCTGGCTGTACCCTGCTCTCTCCGCCTTTTGCCAGGGGAGGCCTCAGTTCTAGGGCCGTGTGATTTAGCATTCGATATTTCCCCAGCAAGTCACTAGGGCATTCTTAATTCTGCCTGCTCTGTGGACATTGGCACACGGAATCACAACTGTGTCTGTCCATGTCCCTGACCCTGCTCTGCGCTCCAGTTTTTCACTTCTGTGTCTGGCTAGACTTCTTTATGTTTCATGTCACTTTGGGGCAAACACGAAGCTGTCATTTTTGCACAATCATCTCTAGCTCTCAGAAGTTCGCCACTGAAGTTGTCTCAGGTTGTTCCAATGCTGGATGCTTTCGCTGACACCAGAATTGCCTTGGAACTCACAAAATACTCGGCCCCCAGGTCAGTAATGCTGGAGATTCAAGCTTCCTGAGCTCTTCTTCATATCTCTCATCATTTGGGTAAGTTAGTTTCTGTTTTGGATGGCAGGCATTCCTGGGCATCCTCAAGAGATGTGTTTTAAGACACTTGGTGGACACCAAATTGCACAGATGTTGGAGTCCCTGTGTAAAATGTCATAGTCTTTGTGTATACACTCACACACATCCTCCTCTATACTTTAAATTACCTCCAAATGACTCATGATACCTACTACAATGTAAATGCTGTGGAAATGGTTGCTATGCTATATTGTTGAGCGAATAATGAGAAGAAAAATTTCCGTAACTGTTCTGTACACATACAGTGATTGGCTGAACCCATGGACTCAGAGCCCAAAGGTGCAAGGGCAGACCGTGTGTGCTGAGATGTAAACTCCAAGACTGCCTCTTTGGTGTTCTGAGTTCTGCCTTCAAAACTCTCTGTTGAGGCAAAAACATATCACCTTCTAACATGAACTCCAATAGAGGTTGTAAGGAAACGTCAGGGCCAAAATATGCTTCTATTAATAGGACAAAACAGTATTCTCTGTGTTTGTCAAGTAGGTGGGTGAAACTCTAATGACTGAGGTATTACAATGCCTGACATACCATGCAGCTATGAGAACAAAGGGGGTAGAAAGTCCAGTGTAATCATGCATGGAGAAGGTGATGATGTTTTTGAAATCTTTTAATAATTCAATATTTTTGTTGCTGAGATGGAGATGGTGTGTGTGGAAGGCTTCAGAAAGGGAGGGCCATAGGATGTCCTGAGACCTGTTTACGCTCTCATTAAAATGATGGAGTAAAGTTGAGATGAAAGAAATCCCTCCACTAGGGTGGTCAGGATGAGAAGAAGCAGCGGGTGGGAAAATGGCTAAAATAATAAAGGATTTCCTTTCTGTGGCGTTAGAGTGGCCCAGGTACTTTGCTGGCTCTTCCTGCAATGATGATGAAAATAGCACACCCTGAGGCTTCGGTATGTCTCACCTGGCCAAGGGCTTCCCGTGGGTTTGTGGGTTTGTCCTTCCTCACCTGACAGCAGCTCAGGACATAAGCAGATATCCCAGAGCAGGACTCCATCTGGCTTCAGTCCAGGCCCCTAGGACTCCAGGGCCCACAGTATTCTCAGATGTGGTGGCTGTGGAAGTGGACAGGAAACTCCTGGGGTGGCACTGATACCATGAATATAGCTACCTCCACATAGTGCCCGTGTACTTGGGCCTGGGGTCTCAACCTCTTTGCAGGGTGTGCTTGGGCTTTCCAACTGCAGACACACAGCAGGTCTGTGGAGACCATGCGGGACTAAGTCGGGTGTCGTGTAAGATGTGTTCTCAGGAGGAGAGCTGTTACTTTTACACCTCGGTCTTGTGAGTTTTATTTTTAATTAACCACTTTACAAAATCATTGTAAGAGTTTCTCAGTTCCTAAGGGGAGAATTCTTTCAGTCCCTGGACAATCAGTACCCTCTTAACTGCTGTGTTTCCTCTGGTTTCCAATGAGCTGTCACGAGACAGATCAAAATCGCAGAGTTCTAAGAACTTTACAGTTGCTCGGATGTGAGTGGGGATCTGTAGCGTTTGGAATAGTCTCAGTTTAATAGCTGCCATGTGAGTTCTGTATCCAAATTCCTGTGTATTTATTAGTAGGTGCTCACATATACAGGATGGGATCGTGGACAGCAAAATCAGTACTATGCTATTATTCCAAACTTAGGCCTTGTAACTCTGCTACTGAGCTTGTGTATATTTCCCTCCTTTTTACCCTCAGGAAGACATGAACCTTTTTAAAAAAAATAAAAACATATTAAGCAACGTTATGGTTAGAACTTATAAAACTGAAAAAAAAGTATGTATAGGAAAGTGAGTGAGAAAAACATTGTTTTCACATTGGGGCACGTGGATTCACTGTAAATTCTTAGCCATGCCTTCTTCATTTTGGAATTGTTAATTCTCTTTACAGTCAAAAAACAAAGGCAATTAACCAGACAACCTATAATGATTCTCCCAGTTTAATACCATTTGCCATTTTCTAAATGACAAGGAGAGAGTAGGAATCCTCGGAGCCCGGTGTCGGGGCCAGGCCTCTGGGCTGCAGCGCTCTGTCCCAGGCTGCATCGGTGCGGCCTCAGAGATCACAGAGCAAAGGGCAGAGGAGAGTGAGCCCGGCTCTGGGGCCTCGGGTGCCCTTCCAGTGCTGCAGGTGTCAAACTTCATCATTCTGCTATAGCTGCTCCAGGACTTTGTCTTGGCTATGGACTTCATTCTGAAACTACACTTTTGTAAACAGACTGCTATGGTTTGGATCTTAAATGTCCCCAAGGGCCAATGTGGGTAATGTTGAGTCCCCAAGGTGCCACCCTGTTGGGAGGTGGTGGAAACTCTGGGGTGGGTGTAGGAGAGGGCTTTAGGTCCCTGGGGGTGTCCTCTGAGGGACCAAGGGACCCCTCAGAGGGACATGGGACTCTGACCTTCCACTTCCTCTCTCTGCTTTGTTCTTGGCCGCAGAGGGAATGGCCTGACTGTGCTCGCTGCTCCTACCATGGTGCACTGCCCATTGGTCACACACACAAACGGTCAAGCTGTGAGACAAGGTTAGCAATGCCTCTGTCGGCTGACTGACATCCGGTTCTTGTTACAGTAATGGACAGCTGCATAATGACTCACATTGCTGTGAAACTCTTAACAGCCAAAAAACAAAGACAATTAACCAGACAGCCTGTAATGATTCTCCCAGTTTAATATCATTTGCCATTTTCTAAATGAAAAGGAGAGAGTAGGAATCATCAATCATAAGAGTGCCGTATACAGGAGTGACACTGTTCCTTAAAGTAGTTTATTCTTGGACTCATGTAACTTTACATATTAATTCTGTTTCCATTCTCTCTCTCTCTCTCTGTGTCTGTCTCTCTGGTATGTGTATGTGTCTGTGTGTGTATGTGTCTGTGTGTGTATGTGTGTTTGGCAATGAAAGAAATTTGGACATTTTTGTCATGGGAATTGAAAACAATTTTTATTGCTATATATAAAACCAAAGGCTAGCAAAACTCTTGGCATCCAAAACTAAATCTCTTTCTCTTTTCTCTGCATCACCAGTGAGTAAGACTGATGGAGAGTTACTGGTCTCTGGGGAGTGGTAAGGGTAATATGATGTTAACTTTTTTGAAGACCCATGTGTCAGAGTACTTTTGCCACTTATCAAGTATGTATAAGCTTTCAATAAACACCAACCACAGAAATACTAAGTACTACGAGCATCTTTTTTAATGAATAGGTTCCAAGAACGTGTCTCAGTAAGGAAATAATCCATCCTCTATTGTAGGGCATAGCAAAGGCTCTCATTTTTACCACTAGCACTTAGAGCTGAGCCTGAAATTCATATTTTTCTCACTACAGGGGGCCCAAAGATGGTTGCTTTGTCAGCACACCTGCCTTTCCTGGCCCCTTGCTCTGTGTTCTGGGTCCATTTGGGGCAAACCTTTCTGACACATGGGTCAGGTGGATCTGGGAATTCAGGGAGGCCTCAAGGAGCATTCTTCCCACCACCTGGCTTCTCCACTCCAGTCTCTGAGTGAGAGAAATATAACCTGACTCTATTTTGACTAAAATAAAGAAAACGTGTTTTGAGGGAATTTCACCCGTGACAAATGGCAACAGAAAGACAGTCACAAATATGGGTAGAGTGACTGTCTCTTCACTAGGAGATGAGGGCAATCTGGTAAAGTCCTCGTTCCACAGTGCACCCTTCCTGGTGGGAATTAGGTCCAACTACAACAACAAATCATCACTTTAGGACTTAATCCTACATCTTTCATACTAGTTCAACTGATATTCATTGCCTAACATGTTCAACAAATATTATCGAGGATAGCATCATTCAAGGTGGGAACATTCAACTGGGGAGAAGACTTAGATCCCTGGGCCTCGCCATATCACTTAGTGTGTGCACTGGTAACTCACATTACTCACATGTCTGCTGGTTCAGCTAATCTGGGCTGGGTCCAGCAGGGTGGTTTTCTGACACTGGAGATCTCATAGATGCCCAGAGGCAAGCTGGGGTTGGCTTGTCCAATGTGGCCTCGATGTGAACAACTTGTGTGCTGTCATCTGGAAGTTGAGTGACCTCAAGCCCAATGTATTGAAGGTCTGGCTCTGAGCCTGGGCCTATTGGAACTCTTATGAGGTAAGACCTAGGTGGAGGGCCCTCTGGTTATTTTGGGTGTCTTCTCAAAGGGAGTTGTGGGACCCTAGCCTCCCTCTTGCTGCTTACTTGTTCCATTTTCCTTCTACATGCTCTGCTGCCATGATGTGACTCCACCGCCTACCACCTTCATGAGAACTGAGTCAATGCAGGCATCCTGCCTCTGCTCCTCCAAGACTGTGGTGAAGTGGACATTTTCTCCTTATAAGTCAGTTGCCTCAGGTATTTCATAGCAGTAAGGTAGAGTTGGCTCATACAGCCTTTCCTCCTGCAGGTCCACCCAGGATGTTTTATGGAGTGGTAGGTTAATTGTAGAAGTGGCTTCTGTTCTCCATGCTTTCTTGGGCTCCAGATGGACAAAGCCACAGAACTGGGCTCCAGCCAACCCACAGCAGACCCGGGAGTGAGCCCCTGGCCCAGATTAGGTGCTAGTGAACAAAGTGCTGGCTGTCATGTGTCACTGGGGTGCCTGTTTGTTACACATTGGCATGTACAGTCATTACACACTCTCTGTGTGGCTTCAGGCATGTCGGTTGTGGGCTTGTGCCTTTGATCGAAGATCACAAGAGGAGAGTCTGGGGGAAAAGTCCCCTGGGCTCTCAGGAAGGTGTGGGTGAGCACATATGTGACCCTCTTATACATCTGTGGAAGTGTACAGTGATAGGTACCAGATGGCAAGGTGCCAGATAGCTACTCTTTATCCTTGAAACTTAATGTGGGTCATGGTGGAAAGTAAGATAAATTTGTAGGCTGCTCCAATAGCAGCGTGTTTTCCCACTGGTTGCA